ATCCCCACCCTTGGGGCTCAGGGGAGGGTGGGGGGCCCCCCTCTGTTGGAATCCCTCCCGCCCCTTGGAAAGGGGGGGGGGAGTAGGACCTTGCGTTTATGCTCGAGTCGGGCGTGTCCCTCTACAGGAGGAGTATTCAAAAATAGTCAAAAATAGTTTGGGGACTATTCTTTGAGTACGTTCGAGCATTTTCAGCATATTGGTGGACTATTTTTTCTTTTTTTCGTCCAGAATACCCATGTAGGGGACATGCCCGACCTGAGTTGATGCGTATACAACCAGGTGTTTTTGTTTTACAGATTGTAGACACCCACGCTGAATCAAATTCCTGGTGGTGCACATCCCCCACATTTGAAGTCCTTGTGTAGCAGCCTTTACAGAAGGATTCTTTGTTTATGGCGATACTACAAAAGGAGGAACATCGGGGAACAAAAACAAGGAAGACATGACACAACCTGTGCCTTCGCATAGACATATGGGAAAAGGCCATGGAACCTGTGACGGTCTATATGTTATACGGTGCTGACCCCCACAAAATACACCGTTTCGTAGCAGCCTTTACAAAAAGGATTCGTTTTTATTTATCTGTTTTGTGGAAGCCTTCTTACAAAAGATGTTAATGTGTGGCGTTCCTACAAAACGGTTTCGAGAGTGAAAGAATTGCGGCGACGGCATGCTGAGTCCAGAAAAGCTTAAGAGGATAAATTGAAACAGCAGAAAAAGAATGGCAACCTGAAAAAGCCTGCGCGCTCGCAGCAACAACTAGGAAACAAGTATGAACATTTTTGGTTGTAGACCCCCGACACATAGACTCCTTGTGCAGCAGCTTTCACAACAGACCAGGATTGTTTGTGTGGCGACATTACAAAAAAATGTGTCGTAGGGGATACGACATGGCCTCCACACTTGGGATTATCAGTGTGGCCTCTTGTGGTGTCTTCTTTTGAAAGAAGCAACTGCGGTGGATTTGCAATGGCGGCACCTGGAACCCAGGAAGGCTAGAGAAGAAAACAAGACAACAGGAAACACATGACTCAACTTGTGTTCTCACAGGGAAAAGTTGGAATACGCCCGGAAAACAGGTGACCGTCTTTATTCTTATGGCGAGATCCCTTAGGATTGGAATCCGTTTAGAGGAGCCGTCACATAAGGATTCCGATTGTGGCGACACTACAAAAGGATTTAACGTGTTGAAAGAATATTTGGTTCAAGGCTGCCACAGATGGAGTTCAAGTGTGGAGGCCATTGCAGATCCCCCACACTTGAAATTCGTGTGTAAGGTAGCCACAATAAGGAATCCTGGTGTAAAGGCTTCTACACCATAGTTTACATCGTGGGGGATCAGCAACCGAAAAATAGCGACAGTCACGATATGTCCTAGCCTTTTCCATTTTTTCCATGTGGAAACGTAAGCTTTTTCATCTTTGTCACATGTTCCTTTTTAGCTCTCCTGGGCTCAATGTGCGGCCGCCTCGTATTCATCACAGTTAAAGTCCTTTGTGCCAGGCTGCACCAGGAATCCCTTTGTGCAGGCTGCCACACCAGGAATCCCCTTGCATAGGCTGCCACAGTGAGGATCCTAAGTGTGGAGGCCACTGCAGATCTACCACACTTCAGATCCTTTTTCCAAGGTCGCCACGCACGGAATCATTTTTTTACACAGGCTGCTACAACATGATTTCAAGTGTTGGGGATCTGCACCATAAGAATTGCGAGAATCACCGGTGTCGTAGCTTCAAGCAATTTGTCATGTTTCCTTCGTTTTCCTTTATAGCCTTCGTGGGCACACGGTGCCGCCACTGCAGATCCCTCACACTGGAAACTTTCTTGAAAGAGTTCCACACAAGGATTCCAAGTGTGGAGCCCAGTGCAGATCCCCCCAATTGAAATAATTGTGCAAGATCGCCAGAAAAGAAATCCTTTTACGAAGGCTGCTACAAAAAGGTTTCACTTGCGGGGTAGCATCGCCGTAAGAATAGCGACGATCACAGGTTTCGTTGCTTTTTCCTATTTATCCATGTGAAAGCACAGTTTGTTTCCGGGCTGTTCCTTTTTTGTCACGTCTTCTTTCGTTTTCCTGGGCTCAAGGTGCCGCCACTGCAGATACCAACAATTGAAACTTTTTAGTCAGGCCGCCACCAAAATAATCGTTGCGCAGGCTGCCAAACAAGGATTCCAAGTGTGTAGGCCACCGCAGATCCCCCACCATTGAAGCCATTTTTTGAAAGAACGCCACACAAGGAATCGTTTTTCCAAAGGCTGCTACAACAGGGCTTGGATTATGGAGGCCATTGCGTATCCCCCATCATCGGATTCCTGTTGGTAAGATCGCAACAAAAAGAACCCTTCTCTGCAAAAGGCTGCTGCAAGAGGATTTGTTTGGAAACCTGCCTTAAGTTGCATCCTTTTGCACGGCAGTCACAAAATAGTTACCAAGCGCGCCCGCCAAAAGTGACGGTCATGATGATGATGGTGACGATGGTGGTGATGATGATGGTAACTGTGATGCAGATGAACCTGATGTTCGGTCGTTAGAAACACATCAAAACATATTTGTTGTAATCGTACGAACGGTCGCACGCCCCCCCCCCTTCCCGTTCTACCCCGCCGTCTTGCAATTCAGGAGGGGCGGGCCCCGTTCGAACCCTCCGTCCCCTTGAGCAGGAGGGGGGACCCTTCCAAATCCGACCCCCCCCCACCGTCAGGGAGGAAGGGCCCGCCTCCCCCGGTCAGGGAGGCCAGTGACCAAAAGGGAGGGGGGAGCCTTTGGTTCTCCAGGGGTGCTCAACGCGTTGGGGGATCACCCCTTGGTTCCAACGTGCGAAGGTGTTTTTTTCCAGGCAAACGTCCACGAAATGCGTTTTCTCGCGTATGGGTAGACATACACATGTGGTGTAAGCCATGTGGTCTAAGCCATGTGATTAAGCCTGCCTTGAAAGCTCAGAGTAACCGGGGCGCCCGCGATGCGCCCACGAGGCGGCACGGGCGGCAATGTGGCGCAAACTTGGCACACCCTCTAAGCGCACGGGGCGCCCACGAGGCGGCATCGCCGGCAACTTGGCGCAACCTCGGCACACCCTCCCAGCGCGGGGCGCATACCTAGGCGGCTACGAGGCGCGGTACTGGCCGCAACGTCACGAAAACTTGACATGCCAACCAGGCGCACTGACGAAAGCAACAGAGAGGCAACGGGCGGCAACGTGGCGAAGCCTCGCCGGACCCCACCAAGCGCAGGACGGCCACGAGGCGGCTGCGGGCGGCAACGCGGCGAAACCTCGCCGGACCCACCCAGCGCACGAGGCGGCCACGGGCGGCAGTCTGGCGAGACCTCGATGGACCGACCCAGAGCACGAGGCGGCCACGAGGCGGCCACGGGCGACAACGTGGCGAAACCTCGCTGGACCCACCCAGCGCACGAGGCGGCTATGAGACGGCCACGGGCGGCAACGTGGCGAAACCTCGTCGGACCCATCCGAATGTTTAGTGAAATAAGCAGAAACCCCTAAGTACAAGCACTGTCTGGAGAATTGAAGATTTTGTAGTTTCTTCGGACCCTGTTGGGGATTCTCTCGTGGCCCTCTTGGAGGCATCTTGGGCAGTCTTGTGTCCATCTTTGAGCGCCCTGGGGCCGTCATGGAACGTCTTGGAGGCATCTTGGGCCATCTTGGCGGCTGGGCCATCTCGAAAGCTCAGGACACGGAACCATGCATTGTTCTCCACGAGGGATCGTGGCCTCGGGAGCCGCTATCCACTCACTGGCCCTCAAGCGCCAACGTTCCGAGCTTTTGTGAGCCTACCGCCCCGCGGAGCGGAGCGGCACTATCCACTTGTAGGTGGTAGCGTGTCGCCAGGGACGCCGCGGCGACCGGGTATGCAAGAGTTCCTGGCTGTATTTGCCACGCCTCAAGTGCCAGGGGGCGCGCTTGTGGGTTGAGTGCAAGACTCACGGACATCGTACCACTGGGTTGATGCAAATGCTGCAACGTGCCACTGGATGTTGGAGAGCAGATGGTGTCTACCCATTGGCTTCAGGCAGACCCATGGTCTATGGTGTTTGAGCCTTTTGTGAAGTTGGAGCCTCAGCAGCAGGAGGGGCAGGAGAGGAGGAGGAGGAGGAGGAGGAGGAGCAAGAAGGTATCGAGTACAAGACTCACTGAAACCACACACGAGGTGATGCACCTGACGCAGCAGATCACTAGATGCAGGAATGCATACTGTGCCTACACTTTGATGTTGGTCAGGCCGATGGTGCCTGACCAGAGAGGAAGATGTGGATGATGATGTTGATGAAAATGATGCTAACGCAGTGATGATGGTGACGATGTTAATGATGATACGGATGATGATGGTGATGATGATGATGGTGATGCTGATGCTGATGCTGATGATGATGATGATGTCGTTGTTGATGATGATGAAGATGATGATTCTGATGATGGTGATGATGATGGTGGTGGTTGTGGGTGTCGTGGTGATGGTGGTGATAATATTGATGAGGAGGATAATGACGTTGAGTGATGACGTTTATGATGATACTGATGATGATGGTGATCATGGTGGTGATGATGATGGTGATGATGCTGATGATGAAGATGCTGTTGATGCTGCTGCTTATGATGATGATGATGATGATGATGATGATGATGATGATGATGATGATGATGATGATGGTGGTGGTGGTGGTGATGATGATGATGATGATGATGATGATGATGATGATGATGATGATGATGATGATGATGATGATGTGATGGTGATGGTGATGGTGATGGTGGTGGTGGTGGTGGGTGTGGTGGTGGTGGTCGTGGGGGGAGGAGGAGGAGGAGAGGAGGAGGAGGAGGAGGAGGAGGAGGAGGAGGAGGAGGAGGAGGAAGAGGAACAGGAGGAGGAGGAGGAGGAGGAGAAGGAGGAGAAGTCCATGCATGTCTACTCTACGTGAGGCGGAACGGCTGGTGTGCCCCGGCCAGCCTCCAGGGGACGAAGACGCCTGGCCCCCTCAGGCAGCGCAACGTCATGGAGCGCCAGCAGCGGGAAGAGCAGGACGGCAGGCAGGCCAGCTGGACGCAGGCGCGACGGGGAGTCGCAGGGGCTGGACGCGGCCTCTCGCCCTCGACCTCCATGTCCCTCGCTCTCTCTCTCTCTCTCTCTCTCTGTCTCCCTCTCTCGCTTTCTCTCCTTCTTGTTCTCTCTCTCTCAGACTGGACCTGGCAGCGATTCCTGCGCATGCGGGATGACAGGGGCGCCGAGATCTCCTGGTTCGACGACCCTGCGGGCACCAGCACGCACACACACATACACACACACATCATGTGAAGGACGTCCCAGAGTCGCGCCTTCGTGCAGCGAGTCCCCTAGTCCAGGCCCGACCTTGGCTCCTTGCTGCAATATTCCCAGGGGGTCGACATGTACGATACGGCCTGGCCAGATCTGGCCAGCCCGCAGAAGGCCTGTGCCCCATGGCAACGAGGCCTCCTGCTCAACGACCCGTGTGGTGGAGACCACACGCAGCAATGCATTGTTCGGGCTGCCGTCTCAGCTGACGACTTCCCCTCTACCGCTACCGCGACGATGAGGAAGAGACGCGCAACACACACCTGTCTGGCGCTGGCGTTCCTGGGCCCAGCACCGCCGCCCTTTCACACGCCCATTTTCGCCAGGACGTCGGCCCAGAGCCCTTCCGCCCAATGTCGACACGCCGAATAATAACAAAACGCTCACAAGCAGCCGGCTGCAGTGAGACGGGAACGGACCAGACGTCTGGGTCGAGGCTGAGGAGCGGGGGGTCCATAGCGTCTGAGGCACCGCCGCCCCAGGCTGTGAACCCGACCCCACCCGTGCGGAGGCTTTCGGTGCGCTGAGGGTGGTCTTGCGTCCAGTTAACATTGCGTTGGCCACACAAGCGCTGGAGGCAAGTCCTGAACTGGCTTCTACAAGTGTTGTGGGTCCGAAACAGTTGCAAGCTCTCCAGGGACTTTGGTGATGAGCTTGTCGAATGCCCAGGGTGCGCGGTCAGCGGCCGCTTGCTCGGAGGGCAGCACCACACGCATCTTTGCGAGCAAACGGGCGTGTCTGTTCCGCAGCACGTGGGCCCCCTTGTCGGAGGAGAACCGTACCGTCGGGGCGCAGAAGAAGGAACCTTTTTCGCTGGGGAGGGGCTCAGTGTGCCTCCTAGTCTTTCTACAGTTTGCCTCAGGTTGTCGTTCGGCTTTCGCTGGGAAAACGAGGTTTCACCTATGGAAGAAGAGGGCCTTCCTTCCCTCGGCATCGCTCGGACGTGTGCATTTTTCCTTCGGCGAGGACCATCGAGGAGCATCCTTGGTCATTTGGCGAAAAAGCCACGCACGAAACCGACAAATGCACAGGGAATGGACGTCCGAGCGATGGCCTCAGGTTGTCTTTCGGCTTGCGCTGGAACAGCGAGGTTTCACTTATGGAAGAAAAGGGCCTTCCTTCCTGAGGAGGAGGAGGAGGAGGAGGAGGAGGAGGAGGAGGAGGAAGAAGAAGGGATGGGGAGGAGGAGGAGGAGGAGGAGGAGGAGGAGGAGGAGGAGGAGGAGGAGGCTCATTTAGGCTTCCTTCGGTCCATGCCCCGACTGCTCGTCGTCGCGCGGCGTCTCCCGCCCACGGCGGCCGCGGCGAGCGGAGCGCGTCGCGGGAGGAGGGTGCGGCTCGGCCTGCCCGTGCCGCGGGGGATGCGGCCGCTCCGGGAGGAGACTTCGACGATGTCGGGGGGGGGGGGGGCACCGTGGCTCGCAGGAACACCGCGGCTCGCAGGGGGACACGGGGGCCCCGAGAGAGAGAGAGAGAGAGAGAGAGCAAGAAAAACGAAGAAGTGGCAAGAGCGGAAGTGACAAACACATGCTACAGACAGAGGGAGGGGGAGAAGGAGAGGGGGAGGGAGAAGGGAGCAGGAGAAGGAGGGGAGGGTATAGCATTCTGCTTGGGGCGTTTGTTGTCGGAGGGGGACAATGTGGGGACAGGCCAGGGGGGGGGGGAAGGGATGGTGGGAGGCAGAACAGCGGGGGGGGGGGGGGGGAAAGAGGGGCGGGCCCGAGGAAGACAAGAGCGGCGACTGGGGCGACTGGGGCGACTCCCCGGCCGCCGCGGCCGCCCCGGGCGTGCCCCTCAAGGCCGCGCCCCAGGCGGGGGCCGTGCCGCCCAGCGAGGAGGCGCCCGAGCGCGCGCAGTGGACGGCGAACTTCTGCCCGCACTGCGGGGAGAAGGCCCGGCAGCGCGCCGCACGCTCTCTCCGCCGGGAGCCATGAGGCGGGGGTCCTCGGGGAGCAAAAAGTAACATAAACATAAAAACTCGGAGGTCCCCGCGGATTTCTCGGATCGGCGCTGGGGTCCCCCGGCGGCGCCTCCGGCGCCGCCCCTGGCGCGCTCCGCGCGCCAGGGAGGGGGGTGCAGCGCCGATCCGAGAAATCCGCGCGGACCTCGGAGTTTTATGGTTTATGTTACTTTTTGTTCCCCTAGAGACGGGGGTCAGTGCAACCGGGGGTCAGCCAGAGCGCCCGATCCTGCAGGACCCTGCAGGGACAGGGTCGCATTGACCCGGGCTCGGGTGCAGGATCTTGCAGGACCCTGCAGGATCCTGCAAGGCCTGACTGACCCGGGTCTGGATTATTGACCCGGGTCAGAAGATTCCCGACTCCATTTGTAATCGGGTGCATCGAAGGAGGGGTTGATCGAGCTTCGAGATTCTGCTCTCCGGAGGCAGGATTCGAGGCTCCAAGGCAGGGCCGCAGCAGATGGGGTCGGAGGGTCGCGCCGCATCGGCGATGCATCGCCGATGCGGCTCGATGTGGGGCCCGATTTGCTTCACGTCGAAGTCGCCGGTGCATCGCCGACGTCGACGATGCATCTCAGGTGCATCAGCGATGCATCGCCGATGCATCGCCAGTGTATCGGCGATGCGACGCGATCCTCCGACCCCATCTACTCCGACCCGATCTAGGAGGCCTCTAATGATGTGTTATTCAATCTGGGCGTTTTTTCCTAGATCTCGGCCAGCCTTGGGGAATTCAAGTATGGGTCCAGGGTGCCAAACGACGCCCGAGGAAGTGGTCGGGACCCTTTGGACAGCGGATTGAACAAATCACAGCGGCTGATGTCTGTGGTTCGAATTTGTCTTGCCTTCTCGTCGGTTCTCGGCGGGTTTCCAGCCTCGGTGTGCCTTCCAGCGGCCGTGCTTCGCCGAGGGCGTTCCAAAACAGCATATGGTGCTACCGGTGCGAGATGGATAATTCTGCAATGCTGGAGCGAAGCGCACTCCGACTAGGATATACTAAAGCTGGAATACATGTAAAAAGTGCAGCAGTCGTCGGGGATCATGCCTAAAAGGTACTGTTGCACGTGAACAAGTCCGCTTGCAGCCATTGTCGAAGACGCCCACGGCGAATCACCGCCGCCCCCTCCTAGAATCGCCCATGTGGCCGAGCGTTGTGGCAAGAGCTCCGTCAAGCAATTGGACCATGTGTTCCCCCAACCGTTGTGGAAACCCTTCGGGGAACACTTGGGGGAGGATGGCGGGGAAGATCAGGAGGAGGCGGAGGAGGAGGTGGAGGAGGAGGAGGAGGAGGCGGAGGAGGAGGTGGAGGAGGAGGAGGAGGAGGAGGATCTTGGGGGCCTCGTTGGCGCTCTGGGGGCGATCTTTAGGGCCTCTTGGGCCGTCGGAAGGCCGACAAAGAGCAAATACGTCACAAACCAACGGAAAATCAATGATTTTAGCTTCTTCGGGCCCTCCTGGAGGACCTCTCGGAGGCCTCTTGGGCCGTCTTGGAGGCCTCGTGGGCACCTCTTGGACAGTCTTGGGCAGTCTTGGAGGCTTCTTGGGCGGACTTGGAAGTATCTTGGACCCTCTTGGGCCGTCTTGGAGGCCACCGTGGAGGCATCCTGCAGGCCAGCTTGGGCCATCTTGCAGCCCTCTGAAGCAGGAAAAACATTGGCAAGCGGATCTTCGGGGTCTTTCCGGGTGGCCGGCGGGATGGGCCGGAGCTCCAGGGGAGAGTTCTTCTGGAACAAATACCAAACCCAAAACCGAAAGGGTCCAGCACGCCGGGCGGCCCTGTGGCAAGCCAACAGGGGGCGGCGGATCGAAGACGCCTACGGCGTATCACCGCCGCCCCCTGCCTTTTTGGAAGCGCCTGCGTGGCCGAAAATTGGGTTTGAGCTTGGCCAAGCTATCGGGCCACGCGTTCCCCGAGTGGGTTTCGAAAGCTTTCGGGGAACACAGAGTCGGGCGAGCTATCGGACCAGGTGGTTTCCAAGCCTTCGGGCCTTCCTGGAAGACGCGGACGCTCCTGGAGGACCCCTTGGACACCTTTTGGGCCGTCTTGGAGGCTTCGTGGTCGCCTCTTGGGCCTTCTTCGGCCATCTTGCAGGCTTCTGAGGCGGACTTGGAGGCATATTCGGCCCTCTCGGGCCGTCTTGGAGGCCATCTTGGACCAGCGTAGGCGAACTTGAGACCCATCGTGACCCTCCTGCCCCAATTGTTCCCCGAGTCGGCTTAGAAAGCTTTCGGGGAACACGTAGGGGAGGACGGGACAGAGGAGGAGAGTCAGGGAAAAGGAGAAGGGAAGAAGAGGCCTCTTGGGAACCTCTTGAGACACTCTCGGGCTCTATTGGGCCAGCTTGGCGGTCTTGGCCGAGAGTTGGGCTAGAGTTTGGCCAGGCTGTCAGACCATGAGTTGCCCGAGTCGATTTGGAAGGCTTTGAGGACACGCCTATGTGGCCGAGAGTTGGGCTAGAGCTTGACCAAGCTGTCGGATCATGAGTTCCCCGAGTCGGTTTGGAAAGGTTTCGGGGAAAACGTAGGGGACGAAGAGGAAGAGGAGGGGAAGAAGGAAAAAGGAGAAGGGGGAGGATGCCTCTTCGGAGCCTCTTGAGGCACTCTTGGTCTCGATTGGACTATCTTGGGACCGTCTTGGAGGCCATGATGGTGCTATCTTTGGCTCTCTTGGGGCCTGTTGAGGGCCTCTTGGGGCCCTTTGGCCGTCTTATGGCGTTCCTGTCCCGTCTGACGCCGTCGGGAGCCGTCTTGGGGGCCCCTCTGAACCGACTTGGGGCCCTCTTGGAGCGCTTCGGGTCCGTCTTGGCGGCCATCTTGGGCGTGTTGGATGCCTCTTGGGCCGTCTTGGGGCCCTCTTGGCCCCTTCTTGGGGGCTTCTTGGGCCGTCATAGGGCCATCTTGGAGGCCTCGTGAGCGATTTTGGGCCGATCTTGGAGGCCTCTTGGGCCGTCTTGAGGTCTTCGGAAGGCCGAAAAGAAGCAAATGCCCAAATCCTTCAAAAACCTTAGGAAATTCAATGATTTGGGCCTCTTCGGGCTCTCCTTGAGGACCTCTTGGAGGCGTCTTGGGCGGCTCTTGGGGGCCTCTGGGGCCGTCTTGAACCATCTTGAGGCTATCTGAGGCCGTCTTGGAGGGGCCATCTTGGGCCGTCTTGGAGCCGTCTGGAGCAGGAAAAACCCTTGGCAACCGGCTCCGGGCGAGCCGGGCAATCTTTCCGGGTGGCCGGCGGGACGGGCCGAAGGCCTTGGGGGAGTTCTTTCGGAAAAAGAACCAAAACCAAAACCGAAAGGGTCCAGCACGCCAGGCACCACTGCTATGAATCGACAGGGGGCGGCGGATCGAAGACGCCTACGGCGAATCACCGCCGCCCCTTGCCCTTGTAGAAGCGCTTATGTGTCCGACAGCTGGTCTAGAGCTTGGCCAAGCTATCGGACCATATGTGTTCCCCGAGTCGGTTTGGAAAGGTTTCGGGGAACGCGGGGGGGAGTAAGGGGAGGAGGAGGAGAAGGAGGAAAAAGGAGAAGGGGGAGGATGCCTCTTCGGAGCCTCTTGAGGCACTCTTGGGCTCGATTGGACCATCTTGGGACCGTCTTGGAGGCCATGATGGGGCTATCTTGGGCTCTCTTGGGTCCTGTTGAGGGCCTCTTGGGGCCCTTTTGGGGCTTCTCGGGGGCTAATTATTTGGCCGTCTTATGGCGTTCCTGGCCCGTCTGACGCCGTCGGGAGCCGTCTTGGGGGCCTCTCTGAACCGACTTGGGGCCCTCTTGGGCGCTTCGGGTCCGTCTTGGAGGCCATCTTGGGCGTGTCGGAGGCCTCTTGGGTCGTCTTGAGGCCCTCTTGGCCCCTTCTTGGGGGCTTCTTGGGCCGTCATAGGGCCATCTTGGAGGCCTCGTGAGCGATTTTGGGGCGATCTTGGGGGCCTCTTGGGCCGTCTTGAGGTCTTCGGAAGGCCGAAAAGAAGCAAATGCCCAAATCCTTCAAAAACCTTAGGAAATTCAATGATTTTGGCCTCTTCGGGCTCTCCTTGAGGACCTCTTGGAGGCGTCTTGGGCGGCTCTTGGGGGCCTCTGGGGCCGTCTTGAACCATCTTGAAGCTATCTGAGGCCGTCTTGGAGGCATCTTGGGCCACCTTGGAGGCATCTTGGGGCCATCTGAGCCGTCTTGGAGGCCATGTTGGCCGTCTTGGAGGGGCCATCTTGGGCCGTCTTGGAGCCGTCTGGAGCAGGAAAAATCCTTGGCAACCGGCTCCGGGCAAGCCGGGCAATCTTTCCAGGTGGCCGGCGGGACGGGCCGAAGGCCTTGGGGGAGTTCTTTCCGAAAAAGAACCAAAACCGAAAGGATCTAGCACGCCAGGCACCCTTGCGATGAATCGACAGGGGGCGGCGGATCGAAGACGCCTACGGCGAATCACCGCCGCCCCCTGCCCTTGTGGAAGCGCCTATGTGGCCGATAGCTGGGCTAGAGCTTGGCCAGGCTATCGGGCCAGTTGTTCCCCGAGTTGGTTTGGAAAGCCTTCGGGGAACGCGTGGGGAAGCAAGAGGTTTGAAATCGACCATGTGTCCGAGCGTTGTGGCAAGAGCTCTGCCAATCTATCGGACCATGTGTTCCCCCAACCGTTGCGGAAACCCTTCGGGGAACCCTTGGGGGAGGATGGCGGGGAAGATCAGGAGGAGGAGGAGGAGGAGGAGCACGAGGAGGAGGAGGAGGAGGAGGAGGAGCAGCAGAAAGAGAAGGAGAGAGGAGGAGAGGAAGAGGAGGAGGAGGAGGAGGAGGAGGAGGAGGAGGAGGAGGAGGAGGAGGAGGAGGAGGAGGAGGAGGAGGAGGAGGAGGAGGGAGGAGGAGGAGGAGGAGAGGGAGGAGGAGGAGGACGAGGAGGAGGAGGAGGACGAGGAGGAGGAGGCGGAGGAGGAGGGGGAGGAGGAGGAGGGAGGA